AGTATTTCAGTATTTTAGTATTTATTTATTAATTGATATAAATTATATGACACTCAAAATTACTTAATAAAATTAAAATTAATTAAAATTAACAAAATATAAAAAGATTGTAATTCAAATTACAAAGTCCCACATTGGTTTTAAATAAAAAGGATTACATGAAAGTCTCCTATAAAACTATAGAGGTAAAGAAATAATAATCACACCTTCTCGGCCTTTTGGCTAAGATCAAGTGTAGTACTAAATATTTTTGGGTCGGTCTTTGTGCAAAGAGTTTCAGTATTTATTTATTAATTGATATAAATTCTATAAAACTCAAAATTACCTAATAAAATTCAAATTAGAGTTTAATTCACAATAAAGAGCTCTCATTAATTATTATATCCCACGATATAAATTCTATAAAACTCAAAATTACCTAATAAAATTAAAATTCAATCTATAATCAATTGTGTTTAACCAAATGGTCCATAAATTAACCTATTTATCTATTTATTATTATGAATTTTTTAATAAAAGAAAATCTAATTAGACAAGAATTATGAATATAAAAATATTTATTAATTGATATATAAGACAAAATAATTTTTCTAAAACTCTACCATAAATTAGCTTTTATAATGAGTTTCTTAGTAAAATTAAATCTAATTAGATAAGGATATATTTAAAGAAAATAAAATAATTTCTATAAAACTCAATTACAAATTACCTATTTTATTTTCAGTAAAACTACATCACACTAAACAAAGATATATTTAAAGAGTTTCTGTAAAACTCTAACACAAATTACCTATTTATCTATTTATTATGAGTTTTTTAATAAAAGAAAATCTAATTAGACAAGTATTGTTAATATAAAAAATTATTTATTAATTGATATAAAAAGAAATTTTAAAAGAATTTCTATAAAACTCTAACACAAATTACCTATTTATCTATTTATTATGAGTTTTTTTAATAAAAATAAATTTAATTAGACAAGAATTATTAAAATAAAAAATCATGCAAAGTGTTTCAGTATTTCAGTATTTATTTATTTATATAAAAAATATTTATTAATTGATATAAAAATAATTTTTGTAAAAATAATAATTTCTCATGCTTTAGTTTCGGAAAATGATTGTTGTAGTGAAAAACAATCAACCAAAATAAGAGACCAAATAGCTAGTAGTCATTTGAGGCATTTATGTAGGACTCATTTGGTGTGCCTCCCTAATTCATTAAATGGCTACCAAATGATTCAGTATGCTTATTGGAATGACTATGAGTCTGTGACTATGAAAATAGCGTGATTATTTTGTTTTAATTCTGAAATATAAATAATTCTTGCTACTTCACAAAAGTCAAGTGAATAAAAAAATAAAAAATAAACTTTAAGGATTTTAAAAATAAAAAACAAAATCATTGAGGATTTAAAAAAAAAAGAAGAAAAACTTTGAGGATTTTAACAATGACTACTCATTATAAGATGACACATAGAACCCTGCAATATTCATAACAACTTGAGCTCATAATTCATGGTGTTTTATTATTCAACAAGCTCTTAGACATTGATTTGTTTTGCAAATTAAGATATTTGGTAACTTTGAACACCAATAACAATTGAGTATTGCTTGATTTATTTATTTATTTATTTGTAACGAATAATCAATCGCCACAATTCACGAACTGGTAGTTCACAATAAGGACGGAAACTCTGCCAAAGAGTTTCAGTATTTATTTATTTATATAAAAAAATATTTATTAATTGATATAAAAAGACCTTTTATCTATACTATTATTAGATGTGCAAAGAGTTTCAGTATTTAAGTATTTATTTATTTATATATATAAAAAATATTTAAAACATTAAAATCTACATAATAAAATTTAAATTAATCTATTAATCTATTTATTATTATAAATTTTTTAATAAAAGAAAATCTAATTAGACAAAATTAATAATATAAAAAATATTTATTAATTGATACATAAAACAAAATAATTTTTCTAAAACTCAACCACAAATTAGCTTTTATTATGAGATTCTTAATAAAATTAAATCTAATTAGACAAGGATATATTTTAAAAAAAATAAAATAATTTCTATAAAACCCAATCATAAATTACCTATTTTATTTTCAATAAAACTCTATCACACTAAACAAAGACATATTTAAAGAGTTTCTATAAAACTCTAACACAAATTACTTATTTATCTATTTATTATGAGTTTTTTTAATAAAAGGAAATCTAATTAGACAAGTATTATTAATATAAAAAATTATTTATTAATTGATATAAAAAGAGATTTTAAAAGAGTTTCTATAACACTCTAATACAAATTACTTATTTATCTATTTATTATGAGTTTTTTTAATAAAAGTAAATCTAATTAGATAAGAATTATTAAACTAAAAAATATTTATTAATTAAAAATTATCGAATAAAATAATGCAATGTATTTCAGTATTTCAGTATTTATTTATTTATATAAAAAAATATTTATTAATTGATATAAAAATAGTTTTTGTAAAAATAGTTTCTATAAAACTGTAAAAATTACCTAATAAAATTTTAGAGTAAAATACAGGAATTCTGCCAAAAAAATTCAGTATTTATTTATTTATATAAAAAATATTTATTAATTGATTTAAAAAGAGTTTTTTTCTGTACTATTATTAGATGTACAAAGAGTTTCAGTATTTAAGTATTTATTTATTTATATAAAAAAATATGTAAAAAACTAAAATCTAAATAATAAAATTTAAACTAACCTATTTATCTATTTATTATTATGAATTTTTTAATAAAAAAAATCTAATTAGACAATAATTATTAATATAAAAAAATATTTATTAATTGATATATAAAACAAAATAATTTTTCTAAAACTCTACCACAAATTAGCTTTTATTATGAGTTTGTTAGTAAAATTAAATCTAATTAGACAAGGATATATTTAAGGAAAATAAAATAATTTATATAAAACTTTATCACAAATTACCTATTTTATTTTCAATAAAACTCTATCACACTAGACAAAGAAATATTTAAAGAGTTTCTATAAAACTCTAACACAAATTACCTATTTATCTATTTATTATGAGTTTTTTAATAAAAGGAAATCTAATTAGACAAGTATTATTAATATTAAAAATTATTTATTAATTGATATAAAAAAAGGTTTAAAAGAGTTTCTATAAAAGTCTAACACAAATTACCTGTTTATCTATTTATTATGAATTTTTTTTTAATAAAAGTAAATTTAATTAGAGAATAATTATTAAAATAAAAAATATTTATTAATTACAAGATTACCTAATAATATCAATCACATTCTATATAAACTCTTATTTTTAGTTCAATATAAAAATAATAGTTATTTTTTATACATAATTATCACAATATAACCGATCTGCCCTGTTATGATTATGTTATTATCAGAAAAGGATACATGTCATAATCCTATTAATCGAAGAAGCCTATCATAATCCTATTAATCGAAGAAGCCTATAAATAGAGGCATGGAGAAAGGGTACAAAAATTGAGAATTCTAGAAATCTAGAATTACAGAGTAAAATACAGAAGCTTTGCAAGTTTTTATCTATATTATTATTAGATGTGCAAAGGGTTTCAATATTTATATATTTATATAAAAAAATATAAACACTAAAATCTACATAATAAAGAGTTTCTATAAAAGTCAAACACAAATTACTTATTTATTTATTTATTGTGAGTTTTTTAATAAAAGAAAATTTAATTAGACAAGTATTACTAATATAAAAAATTGTTTATTAATTGATATAAAAAGAGGTTCAAAAGAGTTTCTATAAAAAACTCTAACACAAATTACCAATTTATTAAAATAAAAATATTTATTAATTGATATAAAAAGAAATTAAACTCTAACACAAATTACCTATTTATTTATTTCTTATAAGTTTTTTAATAAAATAAATTCTAATTAGTCAAGAATTATTGTTATAAAAATATTTTTTAATTGATATAAAAAATAAAATAATTTTTCTAAAACTCTATCACAAACTACTTTTTATTATGAGTTTTTTTTTTTTTTTAATAAAAACTAATCTAATTTGACAAGAATTATTAAAATTTTAAAATATTTATTAATTGATATAAAAGAGTTTTTAAAAGAGTTTCTATTAAACTCTAATACAAATTACTTATTTATTTATTTATTATAAGTTTTTTAATAAAAGAAAATCTAATTAGACTAGAAAAACTCTACCACAAACTACCTATTTTATTTTCAATAAAATTATAATACATTAGACAAAGATATATTTTAAGATTTTATATCAAAACTCTAATACAAATTACCTATTTATCTATTTATTTTGAATTTTTTAATAAAAGAAAATCTAATTAAACAAGTATTGTTAATATAAAAAATTTGTTTATTAATTGATATAAAAAGAGGTGTTAAAAGAGTTTCTATAAAAGTCTAACACAAATTACTTATTTAAATATTTATTGAAATCTAATTAGACAAGAATTATTAATATAAAAAAATATTTATTAATTGATATAAAAAGAGTTTTTAAAAGAGTTTGTATAAAATTCTAACATATATTACCTATTTATCTATTTATTATGAGTTTTTTTTTAATAAAAGAAAATATAATTAAACAATAATATATTTAATGAAATTAAAATAATTTTTATAAAATCTACCACAAATTGGCTATTTTATTTTCTATAAAACTTTATCACATTATCTACAAAATATTCAACACATGCATCGCACGTGCCTTTTCCTAATAATAATAAATTACTCTGAGAAGGTCGTTACGTGAAGTTTTGTCCTCAACCATTAGAGGTAAGTAGAAGCTTTGTAAGGGTAAGTCTTTCAATCCAATAATTGATGGTGTTAGTTCAGAGTAATTGAGATAGCCCTTATAAGGGTAATCAAACAAATAAATTCATTAATTTCTGAAAAAATATTAGTTAATTAACTTAATTTCTACTTTTAATCGATCAATATCAGAGACTCCTTATTTACAAACAAGAGAAAAGCAGCAGACTCCTTTTATTCAAGCCAAATGAACATCATCACACACTTCACAATAGATGCATACAAACATATATAATAGATCATCTACTTATTACATAGCGTAAATGAAGTAGAGAACGATAGTTACATTAGCCTCAGCTGGCTCTCCCTAGCTTATGCTCAAAGTTTTCACAAAAGATTTCTCTTCTGTGAGCTTATCATCATTACGGTAGACTGTGGCACTTGGTTGTGGATCAAAATCCCTAACAAAAGTTGAAAGTTTAGTGTCATCGCGGTAGATTGTGACACTTGGTTGTGGTTCAAAGTCCTTAACAAAAGCTGAAAGTTTAGTGTCATCGCGGTAGACTTTGACACTTGTTTGTGGTTCAAAGTCCTTAACAAAAGCTGAAAGTTTAGTGTCATCGCGGTAAACTGTGGTACTTGGCTGTGGATCAAAGTCCTTAACAAAAGCTGAAAGTTTAGTGTCATCGCGATAGACTGTGGCACTTGGTTGTGGATTGAAGTCCTTAACAAATGGCTGCTCTTTTGCATGTTCAGAATCCTTGACAATATGATCATGAGCATTGACGTTTCTGACCTCGGATGACGTGTGACAGTCGGTTTTCTTGTTGGAGAGAGGCAACACTAGTGAACCCTTATAGACGAGGCCTTGAATTGCTTCGGGCATTGGCTGATCTTTCATTATGCCTTGCCAATATTCACCAGGGTCTTTTCTTGCATCTATAGTTGTAGCAAACTGAAGGGAAAAAAAAAAAATTGAATTAGAGCTTACAGTCACTTTAAAATCATATCTTTACAAAAAGAACATATATAATTAACTATGTTAAACCATCTTCCAAAGTTGTTCAAGTTCTTCACATTAATTAATTAGTACACGATCATTTTCAGGTCTCAGGAGTTTGGTCCTCGATTGTTATGAGAATAGTGTGACTCAATTTGACTACCTGAATTCAAGTTGGCTCAGAGGACTTCTAAGAAAACTGATCGATTAAGTGATTAAAAAAAAATTAAAAGATATAAACACAAACACACACGTACATATACATATACATATACATATACATATATATGTGTGTGTGTGATCTACATATGCATGCTTTACTTCTCCATAAGAGGAACATTTCTTATGCTTACCAGGACAAGTGAGAAGAGAATGAAGAAAGCAAAACATGATTCCATGTCTTAACAACACTATAGGGAAACTCCACCTTCTCAATGCATGGAAGCTTTACAACCGCGTACTTCCTATTTATACTAAATTCATGACAAATTTACCCCCCAAAAAAATAAAATTTACTACATATATATCAAACAAATTTCCTGGGTATATAATTGAAACCTTAAGATTCACGTTGGTTATTGACTATGTTTAATAGAACAAATTACTCACCCGAGAATACAAATAATACATATAGTGCACACATCTAATATAAAGTGATTATTCTCTCTATAGACAAGGAAAATAATAATTATTTATTGAACGTGGCACTATATTTATTGAACCATCACTATTAATTTTCTGTTAAGTTTTTTTTTTTTTATCAAAATAAAAGAACTAAAAGAAAATTTGGCTGCTCCAATAGCATCCACGACCTTCGAGATGCATATCATGACAGAAATTTTGTAATATTTGGAAAAAATTATTAGATGGTTCTTGACCATATATGACTGTATATACTCATTATATTTTATTGAATAGTTTCAATTGGATTAGACAGTGATTCATGATCATTTAATAATTTCTCGATCTTTATCATTTTTCTTAGTACCAAACCAGCTTTACCCAAAAATATATATATATATATAAAAATAAAAAAAGGCCACTAAAGGCCTGTAGTAGTGAAAAGTTATAAAATTTCTTCTCTACTATTATGATTATTATTATTATTATATATTTTGACAAGAAATACAATCACATATTCATTAATTTGGAGAATGAGAAAATATCACTAGACTGTAACATTTTTTATCCCGGTACATATCCACCATAGTTAAGGAAATAAAAATAAAATAATATATACATTTTGTATATATAAAAAATACCCTCAAGTTTGAATCAAACTTAACAAAATTGTCAGGGCTAGTTTGGTGTGGTGGAATGAATTGGAATAGAATGAAAATGGAGGTGGGAATGGAATGGTCATTCCTTTTGTTTGAAAGTGTAATGATTTTGATGGAATGACCATTCTCCAATAATAGTGAAAAATGATGATTTCAACTTTAAAATTGAGCCCCCAGGGGCCTAGTAGTGATGGTAAGGTGTTGGCCTTAGGTACTCACTGGCCCGGGTTCGAGCCTTCATTATCCCCTACTAGAACTTGGACTCATCCGGTATTGTGGCTATGGGGCTGGGCTGCAGTATCCCCAGTTTGGTGCCTTAGGGTAAGGTCTGAAGGGTCTTATCTTAGGGAAACAATTTTAAAATTGATACCAAACACGAGAATTAAAAAAAAAAAAATTATTTCATTCCACTTTCTTTTATTCCATTTCACTGCACCAAACTAGCCCCATGTTATGTTCCATTAAATGAAATTGATATCTTAAAATTAGAATTCCAACTAGAACTAAATTTTTCCGGATCTCACTTACAAAATCAAACATAGCATAAGAGTTTTTGTAAATCCACGCCAAAAAGTGAACACGTGACCCAAGGACGAGGTCGTGAAGGTGATGGGTTTTATTTAGACGTAGTAGTTATTGTGGCACTCATTAATGAGTATCAAAGCCTGTCTCCTTAAATGTGATTTTTTTTTTTTTTTTTTTTTTTTTTTGTTTTAATTTTAATTATCAAGGTGATAATGAAATTTGAACACATGCTATTGTCTACTTCGATACCTTTTTAACTGCTGAGTTTGTGACTCAAATTTGATTGTGTATGTAATGTTATGGAAAATATCAACTGGTTCAAAATTTTGGACGAAGAGGAGCGAAGTTACTAAAAGAATAACTTGGGTTATAGTCCAGGTAAAAAATAATAATAATAATAATAATATTACTGTACATCAGTTAATAACCCCATTCATATACAACACTACTTTTTCTCTTAATCCGATTCATATATAATATTACTTTTCATCTTAGCCAAATTCACTTTGCAATCTTAGCTCCGCCCTTGTGTACGAGTCCAACTGAAGTAGATTTGGTTGTAGGCGAGGGTGCTAGGAAGGTGCTGCGGTTTGCTGGGATTGAAAACTTGTCAATACTTCGCGTGGGTCCACGAAAACTACTGGCACGACAAGGTTCATTCTTACTTGAGGGTGTTTTTGGTTTTTTAATAAAAATATTTATTTTTTTCTTCGTTTCCTTGAAAGCATCTAAGCCTTCCCTTTGCTAGAAGCCTTGTCATTTGCAACTTTTAATAAATTGAAGGTGTTTATTATAAAAATAATAAAAAAATAGAAAAGTGAGGTATTTTGCAACTTCTCAATAATAGAGAGGGTTTTGTACAATATGACATTTTTCCTATATTATAAGATGCCCTCCAAATACCCGGTAATTTTTCGATCAATAATTGAACGAACTGAAATGGATGGCGGAATGATGCCAAATGATTAAATAAATTTCAGCGGATCATGATGGAACAAGACAAGTTTTTAGAATTTGAAACCAACTTCTATTGCGAATTTGGAATTTATTGGAGATTTGAAACATTGTTTTTAGCTCTATTCCAATTTCCAGTGACATTCACGTCGTGATATAAATTGATTGGACGAGAAGAAGGCAAGGGTGATCAATTATTTTTGTTTTCTAGCATATAATAACAATATGGCATGTGATATATATATATATATATATATGGCTTGTTCTTATCTTGTTTTATTCAAATGGATTTGGTATCTTCTCTTTTGGTGACATATTGGCATGTTACGTAGCGATATATATATATGGCTTGTCCTTATCTTTTTTATTCAAATGGATTTGGTATCTTCTCTTTTGGTGACATTTTATTATCTTGTTTTATTCAAATGGATTTGGTATCTTCTCTTTTGGTGACATTTTATTGTATGGTTAAATTCGTAAATGAGAAATTTTGCTAGGACCCGAAGCTGGCTAAGTTGTAAGGTGAGAGTACTATCCCAAATTATATGAATACTTTTAGTTTTATTTTATTTGTTTAAGAAACTTATTATTTTAGAATTCTTTTATGGATTTCTCATGTCACATGTCTTTTAATATATATATATATATATATATATATATATATATATATATATATATATATAATATTTTGGTGACATTTTATTGTTTGGTTAAATTCGTAAATGATAAATTTTGCTAGGACCCGAAGCTGGCTAAGTTGTAAGGTGAGAGTACTATCCCAAATTATATGAATACTTTTAGTTTTACTTTATTTGTTTAAGAAACTTATTATTTTAGAATTCTTTTATAGATTTCTCATGTCACATGTCTTTTAATATACACATAGGAAAAATAAAACTACTTAAAATTCAAACACATTTTCTCGTATTTATGAAATTACATTTTTATCTTTAGCATATGTACAAATGTTTACAAAAATAAAATTCATAAATGAAATATTTTAAATATTTTATACAAATACACATATATAATAACATACAAATGGAAAAGTGATACACATATATAATTTAGAATTTAGTTAACATATATTTAGCTCTATCACATGGGAAACTACAAAATTAAACTTACTGTTTATTTTATTTTATATAGCAAAGCAAAAGTACGAAACATGTTTGGTAACGTTTGCTGTCATTTAAATAGTATCGAAACACTTAATATATATATATATATATATATATATATATATATATATATATATATATGTGTGTGTGAATTCAGTGATGAACTCAATGACGAATTTAAATCAACCATGTACTTAAATCAACCATGCATATATATGTGTGTAATATATATATTACACCAAGTCTTACTTAAATCAACCATGTACGCATTTGTGTACCGAGTCATCACATATGTTTATGTTCATATTGTACATGTGCACAACATAGATGGTTGTGATGTAACCGGTACACCGAGCACATTGAATACCTAGTTCTCTGTTTGCTTCTTATTTCATTGATAAATTTAAATTTTTTGTTTACAAATATGTTCCTAATTCAATTACAATGTAACCTAACATTTTTCAATAGGTATAGATGAGTGAATTCTGTGGAGAAGGGTGAAATTGACTCTTGGTGGTTTTGAAGCTTTTTTAAAAATAAATTAGCTAATGGAATCCTCTATTCCTTTTTATATTTTTCTCTCAAATTGAGACTGGTAGTGCAAAGAGACATTAAAACACATGTAGGGGTTTGTTCACTCCGGAAAAATTAATGCAAAATTGAACATATTGAGTAATCCGAAAGGAGGGTCGGTTTGGTAAATTTATTATATTTACTTAAGTATTAATGTGTTAAAAATTATCATTTAAATGGTTAAAATACAATAGTTCAAACGTATTAGGTTTGATTTCTTCATTTGAGCAGTTTGGGTGTCATTTTCTCTCAAAGGGATTGCGGCTCCTATTATTTTTGCGTAAAATATTTTTTTTTCAGGTAAAATATTTTTTCTATTTTTATTTTGTCGGTGTTTGGCAAAGGTCTAGGTCAAGTTTGAGGTCGGGTCTATCAGGCGAAGTATGTAAAATAACTTATCGAAAATTGATGGATAAATTATTTTTATTAAATTTTAATATTTTTTTTTATAAATATTTTACGATAACTAAATATTAAAAATTTTAAAAAATATATTTTTTAAAAAATATTTCCGTCCAAACAAACGGAGCCTGCATGTGTATCATCATATATTTGGTCAAAAGAAAAACGAAACGTCTGGTCACAATAACTTGCAAATTTGACAAAATCTTTGTTGAATTGTTAAGTTGAACAAAAATCTTATGGGACTATCAATGTCATAAAACAATGGTGATGATAATGACAGCAATAGCAACAAAATTTAAAACATGCACACAAACCACACGCACACAAACTGGGTTTGCTCTGTGGCGGTTGTGTGAAAAAAAGTGACATCTGGTCACAATAAGTTGCAAATTTGACAAAATCTTTATTCAATTATTAACTTGGACAAAAATCTTATGGGACTATCAATGTCATAAAACAATGGTGATAATAATGTGTTAAGAACTAATGTGTTAAAAACTATCTTTTAAATTATTAAAATACGTTATTAATATGAGACAGGATGAGTAGGAGAAATAATTAGTAGTAGTTCAAAACCTTTAGTGAACTTATTATGTTTTGATTGGTGAGTGTTAGTTTATGCTGCATAACCAGTAAAAACAAGTTGAAGGCTTGCAAGCAAGAGAATGTCTTCATTTGAGCAGTTTGGGGTGGGTGTCATTTTCTCTCAAATTAATTGGGATTGCATGTGTATCATCATGTATTTGGTCAAAAATACATGTAAAAGGAAAATTAGGATTCCGCGGTTGTGTGAAAAACGTGACCTGTGGTCACAATAACTTGCAAATTTGACAAAATCTTTATTGAATTGTTAACTTGGACAAAAATCTTATGGGACTATCAATGTCATAAAACAATGGTGGTGAAAATGAATGCCATTTTTTTTTTTTTGGTTATGCTTCAAGATCTTCCGGTAACTTTTTAACTTAAATTTATTTTCTGTTTGGCTACGAAACAGGACTTTAGCTGCTATCATCTATACAAAAAAAAATTAACAAAAAATTAAAAGTCGACTGTTTAAAATAGTTACGAGTTATATTTAAACAATAAATAACTCCCCATAGTATCAGTGCTGAAGCCGCTGGGACGATTCATTTCGATATTAGTCATGCATCTGGAAAATTTGCTGATTTTTTGTTGGATCACTGACCAACGATTCATCGAAGCTCCTGGATTTCAGTAAGTTGGAGGAACACCAATATATTGTACATAACGTTCCAGGATTCGCTCTCATAACTTCTTTTTGTTTTGATATGTCCCCGTAATCGCATCAGAGGTAATAGACATCCACGCCCAACATAAAGCCTCATTTTCAGCATTTGTCCAATTTGTATTTCGGATAATCGGTTGTTTTGGCAAAGATTTTGAGTTAATTGATTGTGGAACACTAGTACTACAATATTGATGAGAAGGTTAGGATGGTTGATAAGAAGGTTGGGATAGTTGATGAGAAGAAAATTGAGATTCTCCTCTATAATAATTAAAATGTAGTTCTCACTGTGAAGAAAAATTGATATTATTTTCGGAAAATGGCAAAAACTCGTTGTTTGATGAGTTGAATTGGGTGTTGTAATAAAATGGATGTTGAGGATTTATGGAATCGAAATGAGTTTGAAAATAAAAGCTAAGATTAAGAAAATAGAAAAAAAAAAAAAATAACTTGAATGGTAGATAATAGAGATAGGTTAAATGTGATGAATGATAGTAGGAGTTGGAGTATTTATAAAAGAGAAGTGATTTTAAATATTTTAATTTAAAATTTTTTTTATAAAAAAAAAGTCAAAAAATTTTGAATTTTTAAACTTTTTTTTTTTTTTTTTTAATTATAGTCGTTAAGGCAGTGTGTGTGTCGACCAAACAGTGTCTTATCAGCCAAATACACTATTTGTGGCAGACATTTAAAATTTAAAGCAAAAAAATAAAAAAATAAAAAATCTAAGGGAAAAAAAAGAAGATGGTTTTAAAATTTATTTTTGGCCCAAATAAATTTTTTGGGGGACAAACAGTGCTTAAAGAATATATTTTTTATTTAATGAATTTTAATTTTAATTTTTTTAAAAAAAAGAGTTCAAAATAACCTATATTTTGGTTTTTCCCAAAAAAAAAACCATTTTGCCAACAATTCCTTAAAGCACTGTTCGGCAAAAAAAAAATGATAATAAAAATAAAAAAAATCCTTCACCAAAACGTCACTATTTTGGTCAAGGAAAAAATAAAAAAAAAATTACCACGATCGGGCTCAGGCTCATGGTATTCCACGAGCCGGCCTACGAGCTGTTGTGGACCCCATCCAATTCCTCGAGCCTGATGGAGTGACTTTGGGCCCCCAAATCACCAAAATTGGGCTTTAGCTAGGGGGTGCAGATGCTTAGATGCATTCTAGTGGACCCACCATAAAATAAGATTTCTCAATTTGAAAACAACTTCTATTGCAAATTTGGAATTTAGTTGAAACATGCATATTCTTATCTTATCTTATCTTCTTTCTTGTTTTTAAATTAGATAAGTACTCACACACGTATTGTTTACGTTGAGCTCGAGCCTCTCCTCTCCTTCGCTGGGCTGGAAGCTAACCTTCCTCTTAAAAATTAAGAAAGTTATACCATTAGACTAAATATATTTTTATAATAATAATAAGAGTAAGAAAATCATGTTCGAATGAAAGATTCACGAGGAGAACCAATACAATTTGAGATTAATTAAAGGCAAAATTGTACCGGATATTTATATTTATTATTAGAAAATTTATAAAAGCTTAGGAAAGTTGAGAAATTAGTAGTGAATATAAGTCTGGAAGAAGAAAAAAAGGGTGTGAGATACTATGATAGAGAAGTAAACAAGTAATTGGAACTTCTCACACAGGCTCCAGTTAACTGGAACAAAGAGGTTAATTGCTAAGAAACTTTTTTACTCAAACAAGTATTTTCCCATCCAAGGATGATGAATGGAACAATGAAAGGCAAATTGAGAATGGTGAGTTAAAATGTACTCAATTAATAAATATTCTGAAAAAGTTAGAATTGAATGGTACCTCTTAAGTAATAGGTGCAACATTGAGATGTTAGTATTTATTTTTTGGCAAAATAGAATTTTTATCTTTTATTATTATTATTTTTTTAATTCCTTGGATTGTCAAATATTTCCCTGCTTTTTACACGTGGAAAATAATTTTATTTCTCTGGAGAAGGCTTTTTTGTTCTGTATCTATATAAGGAGGAAAAGAGAAACTGAAAGGAGTCACAAGAAGAAGAAGATGAGTCTTAAATTTGCATCTTGGAGCATTGTCCTTCATCTAATGCTTCTGATGGTAATCTCTAATATCTATTAGTACTTAATTCATCTAACACCTCATTGAAATTTATGGAAGTGATGATATTTATTGCTATAGTTGTAAGTTGGCAGCTAGTAGTAACTATTGTTTGGTCGAAACTGGAGGTGGGTGGTATTGAATTTCAATGAAAATTTAGAAATGCTACAATCCTTATTATAAAATGGAACCTATCTTAAATTATATATGCAGCTTTTTAAGCAAGATTTTGCATTTCTTATTTTGGTTTTATCATCAAACTTGTAAAGAAAAACTAATTTTTTGTTTCGAAACTTCATTGGTTCAATCATGCTAAATTAACTGATTCTAAGGTTTAGATGCTACTGACTATTTTCCAGTGTACTCATGGAAGTGGAGCCAGAGAGCTGATTACAGAACATCAGGTGCATGATGGGAAGGCTTTGAAATATCCCACGGATGATGGCATCGCGGATGGGACTAATGTCTTACGACTCCATAGCATGGATGATGATGACAATGATGATAACTATGTTCACAAAGGAGTACATGCTTCACAAGTAGTTCGTGATCATAAACATAATGGTGATCATGCTCACCAAGGGATACATTCAGAGCATGTCCATGCTCATCCATCATCCCACATGGATCACATTAATCCTTCATTGATGGTGTTCTTCATTTTGGAGGATCTAAAGGTAGGCAAAATAATGCCCATCTTCTTTCCCAATGGAGACTCGTCCTCTTCTCCTCGCATATTGCCCAGAGAAGAAGCTGATTCTATTCCTTTCTCTCTGAAACAACTCCCCAAACTTATTCAACTCTTCTCCTTCTCTCGAGGATCTCCTCAAGCCAAAGCCATGGAAGACACACTTACACAATGTGAGATATTTGAACCCATCAAAGGAGAGATCAAGTACTGTGCTACCTCCTTAGAGTCCATGCTTGATTTTACTCGTCGCGTTTTTGGATTGGAGACTCAATTCAAAGTTGTATCAACTAACTACCTCAAAAGGACAAAAAGTACTCTTCTACAAAACTATACTGTCTTGAAGGTACCTCAAGAGATCTCAGCTCCTAAGATGGTGGCATGTCATACCATGCCTTATCCTTATGCAGTATTCTACTGTCATAGCCAAATGAGTGAAAATAAGGTGTTTCAGGTTTCACTAGGTGGTGAAAATGGAGATAGAGTGGAAGCTGTGGTTGTTTGTCACATGGATACCTCTCAATGGAGCCGTAATCATGTGTCCTTTCGCGTGCTTGGAATTGAGCCGGGGAGCTCCCCAATGTGCCATTTCTTTCCATGGGATAATTTCGTTTGGGTTCCATTGCCTACTTTCATCTAGCTAGCTATTGTACGCGCTATTGTAACCTAGTCCTAGTCCTACTACTTTAATCTGGCATGAACTCACGCTTGCTTAATTATCTGTGTCAATAGATCAATAAAGTTACAAAGAGATACAGACAAATAGTCGAGGCTCGAGACTAAAGGGCTTTACACCTTCTTACCCCTTCTATATCAAGTTTTTCCTCCGCCAAGAGAATTTTAGGCTTTTTATTTACTGCAACAATTTCAAAGGGTTACAAATAATAACCAAATTATGCCCAACAATTCCTTTCATAGACCAACACATATAGATTTTGAGCACACGGCATCCTTCAGTAGAAGGCGTCACCGCGTGGCTATGTTAATTTTATTCTACAGAGACTCTTTGTTATATAGTAGTTTTGTCAGAGGCTACTCTCTCCACTTTCCCGATGTGGGAACAACTTTCTTTTGCTCGTACAACATTACAAAAGCCCAAATGTTCCCAACTTCACCGAGATGGTTCTTCTCAAACTAGTTCATAAAATCAAAGATGAGATGTACACCAGACTTCGCTTTTATCATATAGATTGAAGGGAATGAACAAATATATATATATATATATATAGAGAGAGAGAGAGAGAGAGAGAGAGAGCGTATTATACAGATTGCAGCTGACACATTGCATGGCTTCTTTGAACGACGCCAATTTAGTCTAAGACTCCACATCCATATATCCTTATCTGACTCAACTCCAAAGATTATGGCGATGGTTGGCAAATAGTTTTCATTGTTCGGGGTCTAATCTTCAACTATTGTGACTAAAACCTTCAACATCTGACTAATTGTCTCTCGAAAATTGGAGAAATTGTGTCCAATTTATATCGAATGACATGTATAATCAGTGGTTTCTTGTATTATTTTCTTGTAATAATACCATAGTTCGGTACCATTTGAAACTGTTATAGTAATAATTTATTATCATTCAAAACAAAATATAGAAGATTATAAAAAAATTTATTAGAACTAAATTTTGTAGGGCTTTACCCTAGGTTAGAGGGAGCCCATCCAGAAATTCTCAATGGCCTGAGCCAAACCCAGGCCAAGGAGGGGGGTTGGAAATAGTTTTCAACCAGCAATTGACGCGCCACGGTTAGTACCTCACTAGCTGTGTCATTGCTCCAAGCGCAAAGATGGTTTAGACTTGTGGGTCTCCCTTCTTTTATAATGCTTTCTTCTGACATGAAGCTTCTCATTTAGTAACTTCAGATTAATGTTAATTAATCTTGTATACGAAAAAGAAATCACCAAATCCCAATGTGTTCAGGTTAACTAAAGACGATTCATGTTGAATGGAAATTTCTGTTTTGTTCCTTTTTTTCTCCATTAACTGCATGAAAAAAATACATCTTAAAAAAAGCATATGATGGTCGATCTTCTTGAAGGATATCCCTTAATATAGTTTGTATATAATAAATATGACTGAACAAAGCTTAATAAAGTGGAAGGTCTGTAATACATATGGGAATAACATCTTTCAAGCAAACTCATACTCTCAAAGGAAGATATTTCTGACATACAACTTCTAGTACATGTTATCCAATCATAATCACAAAATAGTATGTTCAAGGGAAAATTCAAACCTCATTTTGCAACTTCATTTCTCACACTTGGCAACTAAACTTTAATTATCCTATTAAACAATGATCCCCTAACTCTCAATACAGACTTCAAAAAAAATGCATGTCAAATAACTAAAACCAAACAGGGACAGTGCTGTTGTAAACTGCTGGAAAAATAAACCAAATACATGAACTAACTCTCAAGTGTTGAATACATGAACTAACTCATGTGTGGAATACATGCACTATCTCGTTGGGAGATGAAACAATTGTGTTAAACTTAGTGTTTTATTTATTGTCTTGTAATTTGTATCTTTCTAGAGTCATGTATTGGTGCCTGTAAATATATGTTCTAAAGTTCTTTTCTAAGTAAGAAGTGAGAAAGAAATAAATCAATATTTGAGAATTTTATAAAAGTTGTGTGTGTTCTTCTTCTTCATATTGAGTGCCTCCTACAAATTGGTATCAGAGTCTCTTTCAAATTGATATCAGAACCGGAATGATTCTATGAATCTGAAAGTCGGAATGGTGGTGTAATGTCTGTGTCTAATATATATGTGTGTGTGTGTGTGTGGGCGCGCGCGCATATGTGTATATATTTGTATATGTGTGGGTAATTTAAAACCAAAAAAAAAGGAAATAAGAAAAGTCAAAGGGTGGTGGTGGGACCCACCACCCACTCACTTGAGACCATTTCTTTTCATTCATTCTCTCTCCCGTCACTTTCTCTCTTCCTTCCTTCTTCATTTTCTTTTTCACTTTAGTTTCAAGCTTTGAGACTTGATTTCTTCCTCATTTCTTACCGGATTTGAGTGTCGTTTGAGGCAAAACAAAGCCCACGACGAGCTCTATGCGCTAGTGTAAGCAATTTCAGATTTGGTGCTTCCTAGGGAGTTCGAAATTAGAGACCCACTTTCAAGGGTTTTGTTCAATTTAGAGGTAGGGGCTCTTAATCCACAATTTTCTTGCTCTATGTGAATTACATCTTCTAAATTGTTGCAGGACATGCTTATTTGTGCTAGTTATAGTTTAGAAGTAGTTTGAACATGTATATGTGGTTATGTGAGAGCTTGTATTAAATGTTTTATGTGGAAAACTTGCCTATGTGATGATTTATATATGTTTGTTAGGCTAGATGTATTGTTGTATAAGAGCATGTTAAAGTTCCTTGAGAAATTCTTGTGAAATTATGCCTTACTTACTTAAATTGAGTTAGTTGTGGAATGATGAGTATATTCATGGTACTGATACACTCATGCACTTACATTGGGCATGAAATGGGAGAAATTGTTTTAGAACAAAAAGGGAAATTTTGGGAAAAGAGTTTTTACGAAATAGTTTTATGAAAACCCGGTCGTCACGGAGGTAACAAAGGCCGGAGTGTTAATATAGCTTAGAGGGGACTAGGGAGTCGCCCTAGCGTGGTTGAGCTATCTGGGTCCTTTGATGATGCTGCGGGGTTACCAAAAGTCTAGGGACAGTAGCCAATCCTCCTCTCGTGCTGCTGCGGGGTCACCAAAGGGCGGGTTGTATTAACAGTTTGAAAGTGATGGTTTGAAATATGAAATTGGGTAGCGACATCGGCATGCATTTGTATTCCATGTCATTGTATTGTTTGCACTTGAGTTTGGTTGAAATGTTGTATTATCCCGACATTGTATGATCCCTATTCTTATTGATCTATTCTTTATATGGATTCACAAGGACACAAGATGCGTGTCTTAAGTGCTACCTACTGAGCTTTATGCTCACCCTATTATTAATAATTTTTTCAGGAAACGGGAAAGAAGTGGCTGATGACTTTTCACCACAGGCCTAATTTGGATTAGAAGACTTTTTTTTTGCTATTTTTGTATTAAGTCCCATATTTTTTTCTAAAAGGTTAGTCTGTTATATTTGGTATACAGGTTTGTGAACTCTTGTTATTATAATTATACCTATGGGCTGTAACTTTTGTATGAGCTGTCTAAATGTTGTAAAATATAGACATTTGATATTAATCTTATATTTTGGGACTGTAATTATGATATTCGGATGATAGTGTATGTGGTTATACCACTATGGAATGAACTAAGTTAAGGCATGGTGAATGGATGAAAGGGATGTTGGAATGTATTATATGTTTATTGTGCTGGGACAGGTTAAAAATGCATTTAAACATGCTGTGGCAGGCCCATTTTTTAGGGGAGGTCATGTCGAATTTTTTTTTTAAATGGTATCAGTTTAGAGTCGTTACAAATTTGGTATCAGAGCGATGGTTCGAATACCATTAGGACGACGAGTAGAGGCTTACCTAGGGTTGTTTGGGAAGTCATTTGCATTGTTATTTCCTTATTTGCAAAAGTGTTTTGTTATGTGAAAAAGCATGCTTAACTGCTTACTTGCTTACGTGCTTATATGCTTATATTAATGTATTCATTGCATAGTATTACATGCTAAATGTTTGTACAGTATCTTTTTGCGTTGGGTTGTTCACGGTTGGACCTTAGTGTTATCGTTATTGAATTATTTTCTTTGTTTTATAGAATGATGTCACGGCGTAAGGAACCAAGAAAAGTTAGCCCTAGGCTAACAAGGGGTGATGTTGGTGAGAGCTCCAACTCCAATCTGGAGAAGCTAAATGATGAGGACACACTTCTTAGGGACTTGATTCCCCCGAGAGTTGTCCCCACAAGGAGGAATAATGTTGAAGCACCCGTAAAAGTGGGTGAAGGTTCTGTGGCATTGGAGTTGAATCGTTTGTTGCAAAATACTGTAAGGGCAACGATTGCTGCTCAGTCGCAGTCGGCACCACAACTTACAGTTCAAGTTGAGGAGACGCAAGCTCAAAAGCGTCTGAAGATCATTAAGGGGTTTTCTCAGCTGATGCCGGTTATGTTTGAGGGCGGTGCGGATCCAATGGCAGCAGATGACTACCTGGATCAAGTTGAGACTCAACTAATTTCAATGGATGTGACGGAGGATCATTTGAAGATCATCCTAGCTACTTATAAGTTTGCTAAGGATGCCAAACTATGGTGGAAGTCGGTTACGAGCCGGTACAAGGTGGAGGAGATGAGTTGGGACAAGTTTAAGGAATTATTTTATGAAAAGTATTTTCCGATTTCTAAAAGATGGGAGCTAAAGGACCAGTTTCATAACCTTATCCAGGGAAATATGTCGGTGGCGCAATATGAGAACAAGTTTACTTCACTTTCTCGCTTTGCTCCAGAAATGGTGAGAGATGAAGTTGACAAAACTCGGAAGTTTGTTTTCGGTCTTAATGATCGAATGAGACAGTTGATCACAACACAGTTCATTAAGGTTTATTCTGAAGCAGTAGAAAGGGCTTTAATGCTGGAGGCTGACATTAAAGATAAGGATGCGAGAAGAGAGCAGTGGAAGCAAAAGAGGGGTGCAGGGCCATCTTCAGAAGGATCT